GGATGAAGGCAAGCCCAAAATAAAAGATCAAGTTGATTGTTTGTGGCAATTTCAGTTTCTGTGATGATTTTTATCTTGGTTTCTTGTTGGTTTCTTTCATCAGCAAAATGCTTGTAAAAACACACTGATTTTGGTGAAACACTTGCTAGGCAATCTTCCTTATGTTACAGAATGTAATTTTTAGTCAAATGCAGAGGAAATTCCATCAAACCTGAGGATCCAGGCTCTCAGCTGGCAGAGGAGCTGTGCTCACATCCAGTGACTGAGAAGTTACGGGATAGTTTCAGCAGAAGCTCATGGGACATGAGCAGGATGATAGTCATGGCTCCTGCATGGACTACAAGGAAACCAAATTCAAATCACCATTTTCCCCCTCCATCTTCAGGCCCTCATCCAAATTATTTGCCTGTGAGAGATGTGCTTCCAGAAGCTTCCTTCCTATTGAGGGGACAATGAATTCCTCTCTGGTTACCCCTATTTTCTCAGTTGACAACAGGAGATCCCAGGTAATTCACCTAAATCTTTACATAGCTAACCCTTTATAAGCTGAGACTTACACCTTTGCCTTTGAAGATGCTTCTTTTCTTCTGATTCTTGAGATCTTACAGAAAAGTAAAATGATTTTCTTGCCCTGTGTGCACAGAGGTTGTTGGTAGGTAGGAAAAAGTCCCCTTATAATTTATTATCAGATGATTAACATTGAGGCAAGACATTCAGTTCAATGCTAATGGTGTTATTTGTCCAGTCCATGCCATTATCTCATTTAATTTACAGTGATTATTAAACCTGTGCTGCATTGGAATAAACAAAAAGGTAGGAAACTTCATTACAGTGCAGCATGTATTGTCTTTCCTTTTATTAAGCAATGGAGCCGGGGATAATGGCTCTTAAGAGAACTAGTTCTTTCCAGTGGTTTTGCAGTGAGGCATTCCAGCTTTTCTGCAGGATGGTAAATATTCATTAAAGCAACCAGAGAGAGCAGGCTTGTGAGAGGCAGGTAGCTCTGAACTGCAGGGCTGCTTCAAGCTGTGATGATGAAATGCAGGGGGATTTGGAGAAAAAAAGGAGAAAATGGCAAGATGTTAAATATTTCACAAAATACACAGTAACGTTCATCAGAAAAAGAACGTTACTCCTTTTAAATCCTCTAAATCAACCTCAGATGAAGAAGTCTTCAACTGCATACATGAGTCTACATAGAGCTGGCACTGGTGAAGGGAAAGTATATAGTGAATACCTAATTTATAAGTAGGTAGAAATAAAACAACAATGCCTGTATCATCAGTTACAATCTGCTGCTGTCCTGCTGCTGCAGATTGTTCCTATGGGAGAGTTCTCATGTTTAAGCAGTAGAGCCAGTGGCATGAGTAACCCTGAGGGATCAGGTCCTATGTTAACAGTGCATAATGCCACCCAGATGGAGCATTACAGCAGTCAGGGGCACAGTGGGATGTGAAGCCTCATGGTTAGAGGGTACAGACTTGACCAAATAAAGACACAAAAATGTTAATAATGTGAATGTGCACATCATAGAATCATAGAATGGTTTGGGTTAGAAGGAACCTTACAGCTCATCCAGTTCCAACCTCTGCCACGTGCAGGGACACCTTCCACTAGAGCAGCTTGCTCCAAGCCCCTGTGTCCAGCCTGGCCTTGAACACTGCCAGGGATGGGGCAGCCACAGCTTCTCTGGGCACCCTGTGCCAGTGCCTCAGCACCCTCACAAGGACAACTTCTGCCTAAATTCTAATCTAAATCTCCCACAATCACCAACCCACGATCCTTTAGTTAACCTGGTATTGAAAAAAACTAATTTTTTTTTTCCTACTTTGTCCATACACTGCTCTGGTTCTTTGTCATCCATCAGATCGAGTCAGCTTTTTGCAGGAGGTGTGACATTAGCATCATCACGCTGTTCCCTGTCAAATCCCTCCCCAGATCCCTTCAGCTGCTTTGGTGAGCTCACACTTGCGCTGTAGAGCCCCTTGATGTGTAAAATGTATGAGGTGTTTTGATCAAAGGAGTTCTTGTACTTCATGCAAATTTCAACACATTCATAGCAGGCAGATGTGAATGTATAGATCTAATCCTCCTCATCTCCACTGGGCCCCTGGGACATCGGTCCAGCCAGCAAGGGCAGGGGGGATTGGTGAAGAATAACTTCTTTGTTTCATTTTAAGACTGTATTAAGCTTTATCCATGTACAGTAACGTTAATGTGCTGAACACCTACCTTTAGACAGGTTACAGTGACCACATTTGGTGAAAATGGTCTTTTTCCTTTCACCTTTTTTCAACATCTGAGCAAATGGCAGGAAATCTTCCTGCAGTCCTTCAGCCACTTCAAATGGCATTTTAGATGTCAGAGAATAAGGTTCTGTAGATTTCTTTTCAAACACAGAACCGAATACATTAAGTAAGGAGACTGTTTTTTGTGGGTAGTAGTGGCCATTGCTGACTAATCCTATTTGCAATGAATGATTTTGAACGTCTGTGAATATTGTATCTTCCAGTGTTTTATTTTCCAGTCTCTGTTTATTCAACTCTAGTATCTATGAATTTGTTATCAACCTAAGTTTTATTTCTAGGTAGAAGGAGTTCTGATGAGACAGGGTGACCAGTCATCTTGGAATCTGTCCCGGAATCATGAAGACTTTGACACTACTATGATTCAGATTTTAGAAGTAGGATACAGGACTAGTACTTGTTCCATGTGCCTTTCCTCTGAGTTATAGGGTTCTCCTCACCTTCCTTAAAATTGTGGCCTTGGAAATGCACTCTTTCTCTCCTAACAACAGAATGGGAGATAGGGGCTCTAACTGCCAGGTCACTGGGTTTGAGAGCTGTGTTGAGCTGTGGGTACATAGTGAAGAGGACATGTTCTAGCACTTATTTCAGGGGTGGAGTGGATCTTCCCCTCCTGCATCCTGTCTCAGAGGCAATCCTCTTGCATTACATTTTCCCCATGTTATTAAAGAGTTACTCTAAATTACAGGCAAGATACTGCTGACTTGTATGAATTCATTGTACGATGGCTGCATTGAGAGTCCCTGCTGCCTACATGAAGTCATTACTGGGAACCACTGGATGAGTGACCTCATAAATTTAAGTCAGCCAGGAGGGAGAAGGCTTCTGTCATTCCTCTCATTTGTTCATCCTGTGCTGCTTTGGAAGCTGGAATAAAGCTCAAGTAAAAGAGGATTATGATTTTCTTGAGTTCAGGTCCTTGCTCTTCAGTTGCCTAATGAACAGTTGTATTCTCATTTAGGACTCTGCAGAGAAAGGGTTCCACTCTTGTACACAGTGTTTGAAGAGAGCCTCTGCAGTGGGTGAAATATAGAGCTCATTCTCATAGCAGATACATTTAAAAGACAATGATGCACTGGAAAATACTTTCTTTGTGGAACTGTTGAACTCATGAATATCCTATTCTTTATCCCTTGGCTGACATTCATTGGTGCATATACATTTGCAGTATAGAAAATGAGAGATTTTCTGTATTGTCTTCTTTACCATGTTACACACACAGTTCTGCTCACTACTTTTCTCAGTACAGGCACAACTTTGTGTCCTTTGGAGGTGTTCTGTGAAGTGCCTTTGTTTCTGACTACCTCAAAATCACATTTGAGTTTATGAACTTTGTAGGAAGAACACTGCACACAAAAAAAGGTAAGAGGAAGACCTGGGATTTGACTTAAATCAGTGTGTTTTGCTTTGCAGGACTGAGCTGAATATGGCACAAGTTCATACTTTGCAATAACCTCTGCGGAATAGACCACATTCCTTAACAATTGTATTCTTATATATCCTCGTGTTGTCTGCCATTCCACTTTGATGTAGGAAGCAATGAAAACAAATATTTCTCTTGGGTTCCTTTATTCTAAAAACAATTGCTATAACAGAAAGGTGCAGCCAGATGCATTTCAGTTTGCACAGAGATTATTGTTTGGTGTGGCCATCTAATATCCTTGCCTCCAAGTCACCATTAGCTATAGAAAAGTGACTTGACAGCAGCTGAGTCATCTAGAACACAGCTTTTAATCAGAATTTGTTCTTGGAAATGTTGCTCTCTTCCCCAAAAGAAAACTGCAATAGTTCTAATTTTCATTGAATCAGTTTTAAATGTATGAATGTTCTGCTTTATAACAGAATTATTGCATTGAAGAAAGGCTGCTTCAGGAACAGCAAAAAGGAGTATACCAAATTACAGATTCTCCTTCTAAAAGAGTCAAACATTCCTTTCTTATGGATGTCTGCCTCTAGAAAGCTATCTGGCTGCTTTGCTATGCAGGAAGGGGAAAGCCTTATAAATCAGAGGGGGATTATTTCTTCTTATTTAGTTAGAAACACATATTTTTGTACATTGCAATATCAGCTTTGTAAGAATATTACTTTTCAGCATAATACGTATACAGGATATTTAACTGTCAGATAGCTTCAAAGTTAGCAGAAGCAGTGCAGCATTAGTCTGTTGTTCCCTGCTATGAACTTGTGCTGGGTTCAGCAGTAGCAGTTATTTTTGTCCTTCTTAGTACCTGGTGCAGTGCTGTGGTTTTGACTTTCAGCCTGGGAACAGCGCTGATAGCACCGATGTTTTTAGTTGCTGCTCAGTAATGTTTACTCTGACCAAGGACTTTGTGAGTCTCATGCTCTGCCAGGGAGGAGGGGAAGCCGGGAGGAAGCAGAGACAGGACACCTGACCCAAACTAACCAGAGGGGTATTCCATACCACAACACATCATGGCCAGGATGTAGAACTGGGGGCAGTTACCCAGAAGGGCTCGGGTTGGGCTGGGTATCGGTCGGCTGGTGGTGAGCGGTTGTATTCTCTTCCCTTGTTATTTTCTTTAACATTATTATTATTATTGGTGGTAGCAGCAGTGGTTTGTGTTACACGTTAGTTACTGGACTGTTCTTATCTCAACCCATGGGAATTACATTCTTTTGATTCTCGTCCCCATCCCTCCAGGAGTGGGGGGGGAGAAAAGGGGGGATTATAGATTATAAAGCAATGGGAAGATATGGGGAGGTACAGCTAGAACAGGTTCAGAAGAGGTTGAAGCTGCCTGAACAGTGAAGGCAAAGTGTGTGAGCCTGGCTTTTTTCTCCTTCTTCATACAGTTCTTGTTTTCCCAACACTCATATCTGAATCTTAGGAAAAACTCCTCCACTTTCAGTGAAGGACTGGGGTTGTGTGGAACAGAGAAGCAAAGATTTCCTTAATGTTGCTTGATCAGTTCCTGCTTTAGACTTCTACCTTTTAACCTATTTATGTTAAGCTGGATACATTCTGAGCTGCTTTGCTTCTTTACCAGGCAGGTGCAACAAGGGTAGAGATTTTTCAAGCTGCTGTTAGTTACACCAATGCTTCTTTCACTATGATTTAAATTAGATTAATGCAGCCAAAATGTACTAAAAATAGCTAATAAATATGTAATAAGTATGTAATAAAAAGCACTGTAAAGATATTCAACTCTTCAAAAGCAAATTCTTGTCTGGAGAGGTACATTTTGTTTGCCCTTTAAGTAAGGAGGGAGCCCTGCAGTTTGTCCAAAACCCAAAACTCACAGATGTTGATATCAGGAATAGAAATAATGTCCTTTACTTCAAACCTGGTGCCAAGGAAAATATTCTTATCTGCAGCTAATATTGTTATCCTGAAGTTCACATTGAAATCATACGTAAATATTCTGGGAAACACATGATATTTAGGGAATATTTGTGTATTTTGCCATTATTATGATTTAGTAAGGGAAAAAAGGCTTCTTGAGCATATCCAGCTATTCCAGTGACTTGGAAGCAGCTGCAGAGCCACCAGCTTAAGTGCCTGGGTAGGCAAACAAAGAGCTGTGTGCTGCTTGCAGCACTTCCTCCAGATATTAGAATCTGGGCAGCTTGGCCCATGTACCTCCTACCCTCCCTACAGCACGAGACCATTTGTAGGCTTCAGTTTTATTTTATAGGGTTATCTGTATACTTGGAAGAGTGTCAGTCTCAGGTGATCTTCATCGTGTATCAGAAGTGAGAGCTGAAGAATAATGAGAAGCTTTCTGGTATGCTGAAAAGCAATTGGTTTTGTTAAGGACCAGGCTATACCAAATGCCACAATATTATATGCTTTGTGCACACATACGTGTTCAACTCTGGACCCCCAATATAAGAGGGACGTGGAGCTGTTGGAGCGAGTGCAGAGGAGGCCACAGAGATGCTGCAAGGGCTGGAGCAGCTCTGCTCTGGAGCCAGGCTGAGAGAGCTGGGCTGGGTCAGCCTGGAGAAGAGAAGGCTCCTGGAGGGGAGACCTGAGAGCAGCTCCAGTGCCTAAAGGGGCTACAAGAAACATGGAGAGGGGCTTTGGACAAGGGCCTGTAGGGACAGGCCAAGGGGAATGGCTTTAACCTGCCAGAGGGGAGACTGAGATGAGCTCTTAGGCAGAAGCTCTTCCCTGTGAGGGTGCTGAGGCGCTGGCACAGGGTGCCCAGAGAAGCTGTGGCTGCCCCATCCCTGGCAGTGTTCAAGGCCAGGCTGGACACAGGGGCTTGGAGCAAGCTGCTCTAGTGGAAGTTGTACCTGCCCATGGCAGGGGTTGGAACTGGAGGAGCTTTAAGGTCCCTTCCAACCCAAAACATTTTGTGATTCTATAGTTTGCAGCTGTAGTTTTAATATGGATAGATCCAGCCCCTGCACCACTTTTAGTCACTCTGCCTGGGTAGTGCTCCACAGGAAACTTGAAAAAAGAACTGAAAAGAACAAATTCAATAGCAATAGTTGTGTTATTTTTAAGCTACTGCCTTGAACAATGTCCCTTCAGTAAATATAATACAAATGCTAAACTATTGACCACAAGAACTGAGGTTTAGAGCCCATCAAGCTTCTGTTGTCTTTCTTACTCTGCAGCTGCAGTGTCAAGTATTGAAAATCCCGGAAAGTCACCTGTGGAATATTTGATGTCCCTAAATACAGGCCCGGTGGTGTGTATTTTTAGGTACATACATCAACAATCCTTCATTATTTTGTCTTTTCACTCAAAATTAAAGTATTTGTCTTGAATTTCAAGAGGCACTCTCGATATATTCATTCATGAGCTAAAATAAACGGAAGGGAGCCCACAGAGGAAGAGATTACTATAGGAGAATGGTTTTTTACTGCTGTTAAACTGGCCAAATATTTGCAGCTTTGCAATGATTCATCCTTTTTCCTCTCTTGTTCAGCAGGATTTTGGAAGAACAGACTGAGGAAGGAGCTAATGATACTCCAAAAGAGGATCAAGTCCTTCTTTGGTGATTAATTTTATCTGAACCAAATCCTTTGTTGCCATAATGTGGCCACAGAAGTGAACAGAACCTCCCATGCTCACCCCAAGGGAGGAGCAAGCTCTTTATTTCACATATTTTATCCATATTTATTATTTCTTTTAAAATAAATGCTACTATTTAACATTCATTATTGTCTTTATGAAAGGAAATGCTTAAGCCTGGGGATCTATCCTGAGACAAGATAGTTTGGGACCATCCTGTCAAGAGAGAGGTTGGGACCAAGAGGAAGCTCTTGAGTCATCACTGTGGTGCTCTGCTATCACCAGCTATCTTGTGGCATAAACCTTATCCTGAATTGGTCAAATTTAATAACAAACCAGGTAACTTCTCTGTCCTACTCAAGGGTGTGTAGTCAGCGTGTATAGTAAACCAGTCATGAGTGAGAAACCATCTCTCAGTCTCCACCCCACGTTTTCCTGTGCTGTGATTTGTGTTTGCCTTTTCCCCTAGGTTGTACCTCAGGCTAAACAGTTCTTTCCCTTCCCATCTCCTCTTCTGTATCTGTAAGCAGCAGCCAGTTCTCTTCTTTCCCTTTAAGATGCCTCTGCCCTATTAAATAACTTCCCACTCACTTTGGGCTCTTCTCCCTTAAGCACCACAATGCAAAAACATCAGTTCAGTCCCAGCTGTGTCTTTGGGAGTCGTTCAGGTAGTGCCCTCTGAAATAAGAACTAGCTGCAGTGCTTGGGTTTGTTCACTTCAAAGACCCCTCCAGGGGATTGCACAAGCAATTCTACAGGTTTATCTCCCTTTGTCCTATACATGCTCCAACACCATCAAAAAATCGATTCAGTTAGGCCTGAACATATGAAAGAGTCTAGCAGATAGCTTTACATAGGACGAAAGCTTTATGGAAACAGGCATCAAGGATGGAGATGGGAAGCATCACCACTTCAGTGCTTACTAATTGCTGCCTGCATTACAGTTGCAACAGGCTGGCATTTTAAAGCTCCCTTCTCTGAAGAGCTGACGGATAGTGGGATGGATGTGTCATTTTTTGGTGATTAATTTATCTGAACCAAATCCTTTGTTGCCATAATGTGGCCACAAAAGTGAGCAGAACTTCCTGTGCTCACCCCAAGTGACCTTGAGTGAGGTGTTTTATGTGTTTTATGCCTGGTGTGCCTGCAGATGGGAATTCTTCTTACCTTCCCAAGGCTACTATCAGTTTAGCTAAACCTGTACCTATCAAGTGCTTTGAGCTCTTTAGAGGAAACATCACACAAGCGCAGGTATTATTTAAACACACAGGTAGAAGCCATGGATAAAAGTCTTTCTGGAAGGGACTCTCATGGTCTCATGTGAGCAGTGTTTGTCCTCAGCACATTCTGGACACAAAGGTCTGAATGTGTTTTTCTGTTAGATCTAAAGAGGTGTCTCAGCAGTGAGAATACTCCTTTATTTTTTTAGAAACCAGTGCTTCTATTGAACTCTGAGTCAGAGTCGCTCTGCTATAGGGGTATCTCTACTATAGTTGGCAGTGTACCCATTCCAGCAGTCATTTCTGTGCACATATTCTGATCACGGAGTAGTTCAGCCTGAAAACCTTGTTTTAGCTTCAGTGTTCCAGGAGCTTCCCATTTTGGCATGCAAGTCATGTTCCTGGAAGCAGAAGCACCAGCTTATACCTCAGTCCCTAGAGGCAGAAAAGAGGAATGTATAGCTTCAACACCTGCAGTCAAATTGCTGTGCCATTAGAGGCAAGGTGCACACTTGGCCTATAGGTAAAGTAAACACCAGAGAGTTAAAAAACTTTGCATAATGTCTTTAACATATATATATATATATATTTATGTCTCCTGTGAAGACAGGCTGAGAGAGCTGGGCTGGGTCAGCCTGGAGAAGAGAAGGCTCTTGAAGGGGAGACCTTAGAGCAGCTCCAGTGCCTAAGGGGGCTACAAGAAACCTGGAGAGGGGCTTTGGACAAGGGCCTGTAGGGACAGGCCAAGGGGAATGGCTTTAACCTGCCAGAGGGGAGATTGAGACGAGCTCTTAGGCAGAAGCTCTTCCCTGTGAGGGTGCTGAGGTGCTGGCACAGGGTGCCCAGAGAAGCTGTGGCTGCCCCATCCCTGGCAATGTTCAAGTCCAGGTTGGACACAGGGGCTTGGAGCAAGCTGCTCTAGTGGAAGGTGTTCCTGCCCATGGCAGGGGTTGGAACTGGATGAGCTTTAAGGTTCCTTCCAACACAAACCAGTTTGTGATTCTAATATATGTTTTATGTTTTGGACAGCCCTGGGGTAGTCAGGCAGTTGGACTAGATGATCATTGTAGGTTCCTTTCAACTGAAACACTCCTATCCTATCCTATCCTATCCTATCCTATCCTATCCTATCCTATCCTATCCTATCCTATCCTATCCAAAAAAGAAATCCAAAAGCCCAAGTTATGAGAGAAAAGTATAAATCCATACCCCTTGCTACCGTCCATCTCTTCCCATTTGTTATATTCCCTTTACTGTTTATATTAACAATAAAGGGAGAATAAAAACTTCTGCAGGGTGCCTTGGACATCTTTGCTTCCCCAGCGGTACATTACCTGTCTGCTGGAGGCACTCAAAAGAGATAACAGGAGAAAATCATAACTTCCATCTCAGACGGGTGATTATAGAAATGATCACAGCAATGGGTACACAGTATTTCATCTGTCCACTGCCAGCTATAGTGGAGATAACCCCTTCTTCTCTAACTACAGGTGATGGATGACCCTTCTTGGCAGACCCAGCAAAACCCATCCTGCCTTGAGGTCCTATAGAGTAATGGATCATAATGAGTAGATAATTAAGTCTGATAAAAAACTTAAGAAGGTGAAAACATATTTCCCTGTGGCTGATCCTTGATTTTATGTGATCTTGAAAAGCCTTTTTCCTTCATCCCTTCTTACAGAAGATCACAAATAGCTTTGTCTCCCCTGCAGGGACCTGAACATACTAAAAGGTCAGTGCTAGATCAAAACAAATATGCTTTAAAAAAGAAGTATTTCCCTCAGTTCCCCATCATGCCATATTATATCTGCAATGGAACCAATGCACAATTTACCTGCATGGTTTATCATTTATCTCAGCAGACTGAAAGCAGTCATTCTGCTCCCATCGAGTCACTTGTTCTCGCTAGTTGAATGCTCACTGAAGCAGTCACAGTGCCAAAGCTTGCAAGGAAATATTCAGACACTAATTAACTTCTTCATTCTGTGTGTGGGCATGGGCTGTGTTTCCTCTGGAGCACAATTGGTGTTCAAGATACTTGTTTGGGGTTTCAGGGTGTTTGCACACAGTGTATGGCTCCCTGTGTCTGTTGGTATGTGTGTGGGACACTGCTGGCTCTATTTGCCCGCAGCTGATCCTGCATGACATTCCCCTTGGAACACACAAGTTTTCCAATATGGAAGTTTAAAAACCAGCCCCTTCTCCCATTTTATTTCAGTTGCTAGATAAAAGGCAGCAAATCTCATGGCTACTCCATCAAGCCATCCCAATAAATGCTTGTGTGGCTGTAGGGTGGGAGGGGAGATTGATTTCAGCATCTGTCCAACACACGTTCAGCCTGGGGCATTACCCTCTCCAGAGGTTTTCCTTTTTGATTTTCCTGATAAACAGATCTGCCTGGTGTTACTGCTGATGCTGATAGGATCTTCTCAGGGAGGTAGTTTAGCATGTGGATAGAATTGACATTAGAGGTTACTAAAGTGGTTTGTGTTTCCGTGCTCAGCTTCTCCTTTACAAGTCACCTCTGCTGCGGCACATAAGGAATGGCTGGAAGAACAATATTGAGACTCCACACTGGAACTCCATATAAAATGTGTCCAGGCTGTGTGTTTCTGCACGTGGCATGAGAAGCCTTCATAGGAAGAAGGTTCTTGATGAAAAATTCAGCCCTCAAAGCATTAAGAAACACCGGCATTATGAAGAGCTTTTAAAATGGCTTGGTTTGAATGACTGTGGAAATGGCTTTAATAATAATCCAGTTTGTAAGGTAGCCTTTTGTTGTGGTTTAAACCTGGTTGAAACCACGACACCCTTTCTACTCTGAAGCTGCCTGGATGGAGCAGGGGTGAGACAAGCCTTGTGCACACCCATTTGTAGCTGTTTCTTCTCATCATTAAAGGCCAGGGCTCTTCCAAGGGAAGAAACAGGCCACTGCTTTGTAGCTAGAAATCACAGAGAAGCCGCTCATGCACAGTCCAGGTGGGAACTGCTGTCACCAGCCTTCAGGTGCGCTACTCTTATTCCTTAGTAAAAAAGATGTAGGTTCTTTAAGGATAAGAAGACTGTGGGAGGCAGTTAATGCTGCAGACAGAGCTGGAAGGGATGAGTCCCACCCTGTGGGACTAAACCTTGTTTCCAGCCCCAGGAAATGCTGAGGCACCATTGAAGGACTTGTTGATTCCAGCCTGCCTGACCCGGAGGCTGGAGGCCTATAAGAATAGATGAAATCAGCCCAGCTGGTGTTATCTGCTTCGTGTATTCCCCTCAGAGCAAGAGCAAGGTGCTGCATGGACCCTCCCATTCCGCTGCTGCAACAACACACAGGCTCCTACAGAGATTTCTGCTCACCCAGATGTTTCAAAGTACAGATGTGTCCTTTTACAGGGGAAAACCCCCATCCAACACTTTTAAATCAGTTCTCCCTTGGATTTGCTTATCTCTGTGTGATTTGGCATAACACTTCCAAAAGAACCACCTATGTAACAGATTTGAGCAATGATAAGGGTAAAGCTGAGCATTAACCTTTAATGTTTTTTCCCCTTGTTATGTTGCACTTATTAGCGCAGTTATACTCCCTGTGTGTTGAGAGAGCAGGAAATTACACAGTAAATGTCAGCAGAAGCTGACGTTTAGGCTTTTATTATCACTTGACAAAGCCATGTAAATCCCATTAGCGCTAAGAGGAGTTGTATGTGTCTGCTGGGGGTAGGGCGGGGGGAACGAGACCATTTGCTCTCAAGTGCATGTAACTAATTAAAAATTTAAGAGCATATAGTACATAATTGTATGGGGCTGTAGGTTAATGCTGCTGAATGAACACTGCCAGAGCTGAAATGCTTACACAGAACAAGGGAAGCTCTGGCTGGCTCTGCGCAGAGAATAGTCTCTGTCTGTGAATAGTCCTGGTGTTCACTCTCTCTGTTGCTGGGGAAATGGCTATATCGCTGGCTGTGACCTTGGTCAGGAGCTGCAGGCCACAAAACAATGCAGGGAAAGGCAAAAGGACAAGATCTGGCACCTCCAGGCTGGTTTCACATCCTCTGCTGTACTGATTTCTGGCAGTGCTTTACTTGCCAATGCAAGCAGCAGGCAATGTCTTTATCCCCACCTTGCTCACTGTAGGATACCCTGTCACAAGCATCAGAGAAGCTCAGGTTTAGGGCAGGCAGCTCTCCTGGGAGCAGGGCAGTGCCAGCATCCTCTCATTGCCTGTTGATGCCTAGCCTCCAGAGTGGTTTAAGAAGTGTGTGCCTGCAGGAAGGGTGTCACCTTCCTATAAGAAAGAAGCCACCAGCCACTGCTATGATCCTGGGCTTGCTAATCTGGAGTAGAAACCACAAATCCGTACCTTCTGCTTCCTATATAATTGTGTTTTATTTCACAGGACTGTCTTAAAGTCATATATATAATTGTAAGTAACCAGTAATCTTCATTACAGGCACAGATAATTGACATAACAGCAGCAGTTACACAAAACATTTGTCTGTTGCTGCCCAAACAAAAGCATGTGCAGGACACATGCATGGAGAAGAGCTTCCATGCAGCTGAAAAAGAAGCCCCAGCCCCTGGCACAAAGGTGAGAAGCATGGTCCTAAGGAAAAGGACCATGGAAGACATTTGTCATTATTTGATTCTTCTTGAGGTTGAGGAAAACAAACTTCATAGAATAATAGAAAGGTTTGGGTTGGAAAGGACCTTAAGATCATCCAGTTCCAAACCCCTGCCATGGGAAGGGATGCCTCACACTAAACCATGTCACCAAAGGCTCTGTCCAGCCTGGCCTTGAACACTGCCAGGGAAGGAGCATTCACAACTTTCTTGGGCAACCCATTCCGGTGCCTCATTACCCTCACAGTAAAGAACTTCTTCCTTATATCTAACCTGAACTTCCTCTGTTTCAGTTGGAACCCATCACCCCTTGTCCTGTCACTACCGTCCCTGATGAAGAGAAACTTCCAAGAAACAAACTTCCAAGTTCTTTGTAAATAAAGAGCATGGGACCAAAGAAACCCCCAGCTCTGCTACAGGATTCACACCCATCTAGAAAACCCTCTAGGTGATAAACATGATGAGAAAGCCTCTAGATAAATACGATGGCATTAAAACATTGTATTTAAGTTAATAAATGTTCTTGACGATCATTACTTTTTATGGCAAGATGGAATTGCTCAGACAAAGCCCATGGGCAGGTGCAACTCTCAGCTTATTCCCATTTCCTTATAATGCTTCTATGGTTTCAGAAGGCCCCATCACACAAAACCCAACCTTTAAAGTTTCTTGCATGTGCTTTACACTTTCAGAGCCGCTGCTGGTTTGAGTTTCACATCCAGGGAAAGCTGAGCTGATCTCTTTATTCGATGATAAAAGAGCAGCCACTGGATCAAAGGCAGGTCAGGATCGCATGTATTACAGCGTGGTTTGGCATTTATGTTGAGAATCTCCTGTCATCTTCACCACCACCCACAAATGCCATAGCAACCACATTGCAGAGGGGCTAAAATGCAGCCACAGTTTAACGTGCTGCGAAATGAATGCACTTCTTGTTTTACCACTGTGCTGCTGAATTCATGTCAGCTGCAGGCAGTGATCAGTAGAAAGCTCAGTTCCCACTGAAGAGAAGATAAATAAACAGCCCTGGCTTTGGCTTTGTGGAATGTGGCACTTATGGGGAATTCAGCTGTGTGGGCAACTAACTCCAAGGACCTCAAATTATACGTTGCACTTGCACTTGCACATCAGCTTTGAGAAGGGCCATAAGAAAGTCTTTGCAGTGTACACAAGGTCCAACCAGAAGAAGCAACCGTTTGTTGAGGACTTCCTACAGAACAATACTTATTTAGTCCCCGTGTTTGACTTTCAGCAGTTACTGCAATTATTCTCCAGTACAATGGCCCGGGTTCCAGCAATGGTTTGTAAAGCTTGTGCAAGTCAGTAATTTGCTGCAATTAAAACTATGCAGCCAGCATTGTGTTTGCTGGCAAAGCACAGGAACATTCTTCTTCTTACAGTGTGTTAAAGACGCTTTAAAAGTGTGCTAAAGCATCCAGCATGTTCGTCATTGTGTGATCTTTCTTCACAGCTTGCTCCCCCATGGAAGCTACCTCCAGTGGGGTGGGCTTTTCTCAAATACCATCATGATCTTGTTCTGTTACACCCACTTCCAACTTCCCCATATCCCTGTATATCACTTCCAGGCATTAACTATTCCATACTCCTTGTAGGGATCATTAGTCAAATACTTCACTCAAAACACTGTGTACATACCGTCCATAGACCGCTCTGAATCCAAGAACAAGTTGTTCCTGTTACGCATTCACCGGTTATTTTTCCCTCTTTGTGCTTCCAGCCATCTCCCAGCAGAGCTGGAGCAGAAATCCCGCACACATGAGAAGGGAGGGACCGCACTCGAGGCAGTTTCTGCAGCCAGATGGAGTCAGGCTGATGTTACCCACCCCTTTGTGACCTTTGCTTAACTGTCATGTTTGGCTACCGGCCTTTGAAGCGATGGGATATGAGGTCTCCAAAAGGGGCAGGTAGGACGATGGAAATAAATGCTGCTCAGATATGGGTGCAGTAAATAACTGATGCTTTTAATGTCTTTCCTATGAACAGCATTCCAAAGTGGTGTTGCTCCCCAGCCTTTCTGTTTTAATCTTGCTCAGACTGGTCAATGCATAATCCTTCCTTCATTTGGGGAGACAGCAGTTTCCTTGCTTGACCCTGCTCTCTTTGTCTGTTGGGTTAGTGGAGAGCTTTCAAAGTGCTTTTTCTGAGACAGGCAATGCCACCCGATTCACATCTCTCAAACAGTGCAGCACTCCTTTGGCACCGGGATCAGAACAGAGACAGAACCCACGGAATGAAAACAGAGCTGGAGGATCCCACTCCCAAATTGTTTGGTCACATTGGCACCCAGAATCAACCGGCTCCCAGTCCCTGGCTTGTCTAGATAGAAGGACAGGTCAGAGCACGCTGTAGCTCTTGGCTGGACCAGGCACCTGGATCTTTCTTTGAGAGAAGAGTTGATGTGTTTCCATCTATAGTGGCAGGACATGGCCAAGGCATGCAGCCGGTATGGGAACTTGGACCAAGCCTTGGGACGTTTCTGTTGGCTGCACTGAAGACAACTTCTGATATTGGATTTCTCCCTGGATGTTCTCTGATCCCGGTCCAGTCACCCTCAGCTCTCTTCTGACAAGCTCCTTAAATCTCTCCCTGTAAGCCATTGTTCTCAGGCTTGTGTACATTCCTGTGTCTCTTGAATTGTCTCCAGCTTTTCAACCTCCTGCTTGCTTTGTGGACAAGAGCAGGGTACAATGTGCCAGCAGATCTGGGAGAGGGGGAATACTCAGACAACATCCTCTTCTCCCTGGATTTCCTCTGCTTAGAGATACACAGATTGGATCATTTCATGGATTGCTGATAACTCCTATTTCAGTCATGGCTTTCCAGTGTAGAACCGCTGCAGCCCCACCAGGCAAATATCTTCTTTCTCCATTCTTGCTTGCCTTCAGATCACCATTGGAATCAGTGACCTGTGTTCCTTCTTTTTACCATTTTCCCAACCTTTTTCATCTGAAAAACCTGTTGATAATGACTTAAAGGGTTTTTTTTTCCTAGGTTGTTGATAAAATCCAATAGTGCAGAGCCAAGACTCGGTCCCGTGGTATCTCTCCAAACACACACCCACTCAAAGAAAATTTCTCTGGTTATAATTACATTTGAGACCTGAAGTTGGCCAATTCTTAATCCATTTGATGTGTTTTACAGTGGGTTTGGACTGGTTTAGTTACTTCATCAGCTCTTACAAGGCACATTTCTTACAGAAGCCCAACATCAATTCCCTCATCAGCCAAACTTGTAACTAGCACAAACCTCCCCGAGCTGCCTTAACAAAGGGGATAATGGGAGGTATTGGTCCCACTGCACGCCAGTGTGGTGTAGGGAGACCCATAACAGCATTAAGGTGCCTCATTTGAGTCCCAGCAGTAGGCACAGCAGTACAGTGCTGCAGAAATGCTCTTTGCTCCCTGCTTCCCCCTGCAGCCTTGCTCTTGGCAAGGTGAAAAGCTGCTGCGGACAGTTCAGGCTGTCTCTTTGGAAGCCGGTTACATGATCCGTTGAGCAATGTCCTGGAGGAGAGTCAGCTTTCCTAGGACTGACACCACCCCTTTGTAACCAGATTCCCTTGTTTGTAATTCCATAAAGGATTTGTAGGATGAAGGTGTTTAAAACCCTTTCTGGCATGTTGGAGGTAACCTCAGCCTTCCGGTGGGCTGCCAGCTAAGCACAGCATCTCTCTGCTGTCTCAAGCATTGCAGGGCAACATGGAGAGAATGAAACTGGAGGCAGGATGTTTATCCTCTTCTCCCAGAGTGTTTGACGTGATTTTTATCAGGGAATGAGGCTGATCAGACTGTCTGCCTTTTTTCCAGCTCTAGCAGCATCTTCCATGATATGCTCCTAACGTATATGCTGTGCTGGAGATGAACGGAATAGGGTTTAGGTCATGGTACATATCTTTAGTTACCTTTAAGTGGTGTGATCAGGACAAATTTAGTCATTTCCTTGGATGCAAAGAGTTGTCCTGTTCAAAGACACCTTCTGGACTCAGAGGAGGGACCTGTGGAATATGCTAGTCTCCTGTGGGAATGGAAATTCACTTATCTGAGGTAGCCTTGGGTCTCTTGACTTCTCCAAAGGATAGACAAGCCACGAATTATATACACACACAAATCTAAACAGTTGTTATCTGGGTTTAGAGTTGGGAATGAACAGGATGTTAATGAGATAATGTCTAGGCATGATATGGTCTCACTTGGCATGAGAAGGCATAATAACGTCTCTACATTGTCTGTTTAAAAGGACAGATTCTAGTGATGCCTTTTCAGTAATTACATACCTATTTATATCTATGTATTAGGATTAGACTATTGATAATGTCAATGTTTTTCAGTGCACATAAATTCTGATTTAATGCTTGTAAGTAACTTAAATATAGAGCTTAAAGGACAATGAGAAAACAGGAAACACTGGAGCAGGGGGAGGTTAACCCATCAAGGGCAATGCTGTTCCACTCTCTCTGCTGCTTACCATGGCCTTGTTTGCTGTGAAGCCCAAGAA